CGGCAATGTTTGATGTCATAGTAAAAGTTCTATTCACCGTTGCATGTACTCTTGACCATCTATGATAGCCAATATCATATAGGTAAGATTTCACACGCGGGTCTACCTCTTCAATCTTCAACATCCTTTCATTAAATTCGTCCAGAGTGTATGACCGTGCTGTAGCAAAGTACAATTCATGTAATTGTAGATGTCCCTTCTTGAATTTGGACCTTATATTTGTCCAAATATGCCACATGCAAGAGTAGTGTGGCATGCCCGGATAGACAATTGATGTTGCCTTCAGTATACTCTCATTCCTATCTGAAACAACACACATTGAAGGTCTTTCACCATATGCCTCCTTGAATTGCTCAAAGAACCACTTCCAAGACGCGTCGTTTTCAGAATCAACCACAGCATATGCCAAGGGCAATATAGTACCTACATTTTTAATTCATAAAATATTAATTGGCAGCCCTGAAAAGGTATATAAAAATATAATTAAATAACAACTACAATATATATTCAGAATATAGACAATTTATCTACATTTTTTTTTGTTAACTACAAAATAACTACAATATAACTACAATTTAACTATATTTTATAGACTGCCTACAAAATAACTACAAAAGTATTACATTATTTACCTGCTGCATCTATGGTGCTTGCTGTAAGCATAATCCCCCTGTAGGCTGACTTTAAGAATGTCCCATCAAGCACTACTACTGGCCTACAATGTTGCCAACTACTTATTGATGTACAAAGAGCAACAAATGCGTATAAGAAGCAATCATCTGCTGCCTTCTTCAATTTAACAACAGAACCAGGATAAGTCTCTTCAAGAATATAAAAATATTTGGGTAATTTGCTGTAGGAGTCAGACGGATTCCCTCTCAAAAACTGTAAAGCCTTTTCCTTGGCTCTCCATGCTTGCATGTAGCTTAGGTTCAGTCCATGTTCGGATAACATGTCAGTTTGTATGTCCTTTGGTGTGTAAACAGTCTTAGGATCACAATACTTTGGAACAACCATGCTACCAACTACAGCTGCAGTACGTTTGCGCTGTATGAATGTTTCGTCCATTAAGGAGCATGTGTGTTGTCGGCTGAAACTCCTTATCTTGAACATTGCCGAATCATTAATTGACGTCGCCTTGAAGTGCCTTTACAGTTTTCAGCAACGCATATAAGCCAGTAGCTACAAAAAAAATACAATATTTAATACAGGCTATAGATGTAGAAGCAACAAAAAGGACTGTTTTAACACAAATTCGTCAAAACTACAATTAACTACAGTTTAACTATAATTTAACTACAATTTATAAAAACCACATATCTTCACTAAAACACTGCTTTTATTGATCTATTCTCCACAAATAACTCCATACCTTCTATGACTTGATCTTTTTACTCTGAACTGAAACTTGTGCATCACAGAAAAATTCTTCATTGCAGCAGATACAGTTTACTTGTCCTGATAAACTTGTCCTTCTTCAATATATGTTTGCGTAGATTCAGTTATTATTTCACTTTGATATTCCTCTATAGCTGGTGAGGATGGAATTTCAAGTAACTTTAGGGATCCAGACGAACCAGCAGCAACATAGAGATAAATGTAGTAACTATGTAGATAATTTTGAAAACGACATTGCTTTATGAGCTTCAGTACATTGTTTTTTTGTAGTTAATTTGTAGATAAATGTTGTAATATTGTAGATAACACACTAACACAATAACTCTCTGTAATGTCGAATTAAACATACCTGCACTTGTGCTATCGTTGGTGATTGCCAATTCCATATTGAAATCTCTTACGCTTATACATAAAGGATACGAACCTAAGTTCTTATTCTCCTTTTTGGTCTCCATATACACACGAACCCCCATATCATTCCTAATCTCCATTGGAGGACAATTGTCGTTCACAATGTATTTGATTTCTACAATTTTATCCGATGTATCAATCGATAGTTGTTCTGCAATTGTAGAAATCAGAATTCCGTAGCTTGCATTCTCATCTACCACAATGGCATCAACTTCAAAATCTCTAAATCTGCCATAGTTATCCCAATTTCCATTCAATTTTAGCATTATTGGGATTTTTTACATGATTTAGTGTAGTTGAGAGAAAAGAGATGAAGAACAGATATATGTTCGACAATTTGAGTACTGAGGTCGATGAAGAACAATTTTGAATTCTACAATTTGTATTGCGTTGTAGAATTTGTAATAGCAAATTGAGTACTGGAGCTCCTGAAGCTTGCGTTGTTTTAGAATTGTAGTGAATGAGAGAATTACGCAGCAATGAGATCTCTTTACGTTTCAAAATTCGAATTTAATGTGGAAAGAATCAAACGCAGATTTCGTGCCTTCTTTTTAGCGCGTTTTAAATGGCAGAATCTGCCTAATTATGGATTGGAATTATAGTAAAAGTGTGGACTGGGCGGGTAATTAATAAATTATGAACATTTTTGGTAATAAGGTTTCATATATGGTATAGATAGGAAAAAATCCCATAGGAGAACGGGTTTTTAGTTGCTAGTGAAGGTGGGCTAGGTTGAATAGTGATGTGGGCCCATGAGTGACTAATGTTAGGGTTAGTTACATTACCTGTCATTACAGGGGTGAATTTAATTTAGATTTTTGAGACAGTCTAAATGATCTACCAAATTTATATACCTTTTATATGTATTATTATTCGACTTAGCACTGTAGACAATAAATTTGCATCGAGAAAATAAAAATAAGACTGAATAATATCAACAATCGTAGTATTTGATTTTAAATATTTAAGTGTTACAATCTCTATGAATCCTCTGATTCTTCCTTCCAATAGTAAATAAATTCAAGGGCTTTCGAGCTTGACGACGATGATCTTGAATTCAACTAGCCCGATATGATAAGAACAAACTCTTTCCGACCAATCAAATTGAAGTGTGATGAGGCTGCATTTGATTGGCCAGAACATGTCACTTGCACACGTGGCACGATTTTATTGGCCTTTTAATTTGCTTGGCAGGCCTTGTCCTTTTGACACTTCCATTTGACTTGGCGCGCCACGTCATTTCACACATGGGCATCAATTTGGGCCTCTAGGAAGATGAAATCTTGGCCTTAATGAAGTGAGCTCATCACTTTAGCCTAATTAAATGGGCTAGCCAATGGATTAAGACTTATTTATTTAATTCATATATATTGGACTTATATAATTAATTCAATTATATTAGCCCATAATATTTATTTGGCCTAAAATATATTTAATTGAGATTAAATACAAATATCATTATGGATTTAAACTCAATAAAATTTTAATTGCCTACAAGCACATTTAGCCTTCAATTATGACAGCTGTGCGATTTTAATACCTAAAGCTAATTGACCATAACTTTATAGTTTGCAATTACAAAAAGAAATCCCAGGTTTAAAATTGTTCAAGAATAAAAAATTAAAAAATAAAACGGGAAGAGCCACAACTCCAAAGCTATGAAGTTTGCTACTAGTTGCATTTTTCAAATTCAACTCCTACACTAGCGAAATAAGATCTGCACTTCAATAATGTACCAATTGAGTTTGGTTAGTTGCTATTGTTTTGTGGCGATTGCAAAAAGATAAAGAAGTTTTAAGATTCTAAGCATTAAACTCATTGTACTGTTAAAATTATGAGTTCAAATTTATATTTATTGAAATTTTAATAGGTTTTTACGTTCCCAGGAGGTTCTTTGGAGATGCTTGGAGGCTAGAGGTGTACCTGCCACATATATTAGGATGATTAAGGACATGTACAGTGGAGCCAAACCCCGGGTGAGAATAGTGGGAGGGGACTCGGGGGCACTTTCCAATAGAGGCAGGGTTGCATCAGGGACCAACGTTAACCCATTCCTATTTGCCTTGCTGATGGATGAGTTGACAAGACACACTGAAAGGGAGGTACCTTGATAATGTTATTTGCAGATGACATAATACTAATTGATGAGATACGAGGCAATGTTAATATTAGGTTGGAGGTTTGGAGGTAGATCCCGGAGTCTAAAGGTTTCAAGTTTAGCAGGACTAAAACATAATATTTGGGGTGCAAGTCTAGTGACGTTACTCGGGAGGCTGACATTATACTCACAAGCCATACCCAACGGAGAAAGTCTTAAGTATCTTGGGTCTATAATCCAAGAAAATTGGGAGATTGACGAGAATGTCACTCATTGTATTTGAGCGGGTGGATGAAGTGGAGGTTTGCATCCGGCTTCTTGTGCGACAAGAATGTGCCGCCAAGACTTAAAAGGTAAATTTTTCAAAGTAGTAGTTAGAGCGACCCTGTTGTATATGGCAGAGTATTGGCCAGCCAAGACCTCTCATGTTTAGAAGCTAAAAATTGCGGAGATGTGGATGCTGAGATAGATATGCGGTTATACTAGGAGGGATAAGATAGAATGAAGATATTCGAGATAAGGCGGGAGCGGCATGTATGGTGGACAAGATGCGGGAAGCTAGGCTAAGATGGTTCAGGCACGTAAAAAGGAGAAGTACAAATGCCCCTGTGAGGGGGTGTGAGAGGTTAACTATGGCGGATTCAAGGAGGGGGCGTGGTAGTCCGAAGATATATTGGGGAGAGGTGATCAGACAAGACATGGTATGAAAAGACTTATGAGCACCAATTAGTGTTTGGCCAAAATAATAAAAAGTGCTTATAAGTGTATTTTTTCTCAAAAGTGCATTTCGAAAAAGTAATCTTGAGAAAAAAATTATTTTTTTTTCTTTTCCAAAATTGCTTCTGCTTTTACTCAGAAATACTTTTTTTCTTCTAAAAGCTTGACCAAATACTTCAACTTTGAAAAAAAATATTTTTTTGAAAAAAAAAGTAATTTTGACGTTAGAGAAACTTGGCCAAACAGGCTATAAGATTTTTTTTTTTTTTTTGTGTTAATTAAGAGAATCGAAGTAACTAACAGGAGAACTTCTAATTACAAAATTACCCTTATCCTTTAAATATATATATATGTATCGTATCAAAGCAAATTTCTTTTCTTCCGTATCTAGGGTTTTTCTTTGGAGCTTGGCATCTCTTTCAAACTAAAGCAGCCGCAGCCGCAGCCGCACTGTGCCGAAAGCAGTGAAACCCTAGCCATGGTATGATCCTCAACAACACAATTCCTCTCTCTCTCTCTCTAGTGAACTGCACTTTTTCTATCTTTGCTTGCTGATTCTGTTTATATTTTGTTGTTTTTGTGCATTAATGATAATAAAAATAGTCGCTGGTTGCAAACGAAGAGTTTCAGCACATTCTTCGTGTGCAAAACACGAACGTTGATGGAAAGCAGAAGATCATGTTCGCTATGACCTCTATCAAAGGTATCGGTCGCCGTTTTGCTAACATTGCTTGCAAAAAAGCCGATATCGACATGAACAAGAGGTTAGTTTTTTCATTTTCCCTTTTTCTTTATCAGAGTTATTATTATTATTATTATTATTATTATTATTATTAATTGATGTTTTCATTATTGCACATTTTTATTTAGTAGCTGTTCTGTAGTTTATTGTACTATATTTTTTACTTAGATGTAGCATTTGCTGTCAAACTTTGTTGCGTTTTAATATTTCAACAGGAAGGTGTGGAAGCACATTGAAGGAAAAAATTAAAATTGCTAATTAAGAGGTAGTCAATTAAAATTGATATAGCTAAAAGTGTTTAATTCATTAATAGTGTTAACTCCAGCTAGTTTCGGATTGTGGCTTAGTTGATTAATTGATAGATCTCTTTTTAAGGAATTGGAAGATGAAATAAAATGTGACATCACTGGCTAAGCTGGGAGTAAATTGTATTGGAGAAACTAAAATAGGTGACACAAGGAAATTTTAGAGAGACCAATGATTGTTAGTATAGTGCTTTGATGTTTGTTATTTATGCTAATATAAACTGTTATTTATTTAAGTATCAATTAAAATGAAAAATAGATTGACGAAAATACTTTGGAAATATAAAAAATTGTTACTGACCGAGCTCGATCTATGGTGGGCTGTGGGTGATTGTCTTTGTATGTTCAAGCTGGGAGACCGTTTTGGGGAGAGTCTTGTGTACTTGTGCATAGGAATACTTGGCTTCTGGAACCTCCTGGTTGCTAAGCTTTTCAAAGATAGAGCTATCCTCATAGTAGTGATGTTTTCTAATTTTCTGGGGAATGGACCCACTGACTGCATTGCTCAAGTAACGCAGCTTGGCGTTTCAGTCAGCTTGCATGCACCCGAGGAGCCAACGCTTGCCTCAAACATAAAATATTAACTGTTATGGAAATGCTATGGACAAACATCTTACTGTTTGAATAGGGAAAAAATATGCTTAGGAAAACTTGTATAATCTGGATAAGAAACTTAATATGACACAATGACTTCTAAATGAAAAATTTAAAGTGGTTTGTTAAACTTGACTGACTTCATTTTTACCTGGTATATTTTGCTGTTTTTACTTGTTCTACTTTGCTTAATTGTAGTTTCTGCATTTCCTTGTTTCATGTAATTGGTATTTGTGTTCATTGGTTTTTTCTTGCATTACATATATCAGCTTTTTCTTCGTCCATCTCTCTTCAATAGTTGCCCACTTCAATTATGCTGTTACGTAAAGTCTCAATGTATACTTGGTTTTGGATTTTCACCTTTGACAACGTCTCACTGAGCAACATCTTCTATGCATTGTCATGCATAGTAAGAGGAAAAACAGTGTCAGTAATAGAGCTAACAATGTTTTTACTGCACTGTACATTTTGCATCTTCTTGATGCATTATATGAAATCTGTTATCTTATCACAAAAAAAAAGAAGAAGAGGAAAAACAGTGTCAGTTCGTTCTCACACTTGGAAGATTTTTGTGGAGTCTTTTCTCATCGTTCTTGCTAACAAACATTTTATCTTTACAATGAATGGATCCACAGATTGCCAAATTACTATCAAATAATTTTTCTTTTTTTTTCGCTGTGCTGATATCTTCGTGTTGGTGCACCATGCATGATATTGTCTTGCTCTGTATCATGGAAATTTCCAGGCTTACATAGTTATGATCATCTCTGTTTATGTTGTTCTGACAAGAAAGAACTCAAACCACCTAGTGATTATAAGTGGGTGTTGTGTTAAGAGCTTAGTGTTCCATATCTCCTGTAGGGCCGGAGAACTCTCTGCTGCAGAGCTTGACAGCTTGATGGTGGTTGTGGCTAATCCTCGCCAATTCAAAATCCCAGATTGGTTTTTGAACAGGCAGAAGGATTACAAGGATGGCAAGTTTTCTCAAGTTACATCTAATGCACTTGACATGAAACTCAGGGATGATCTGGAACGGCTGAAGAAGATCAGGTGTCTTACCAGGCCATGCTTTTGCTATTAACTTCTTAGCTACAAAAGTAGTCGCTTTGTGAGTTGCGTTTTATATGTCTTATATTTATTATGTCTCTTGCTCACAGGAATCACCGTGGTTTGCGTCACTACTGGGGCCTTCGTGTACGTGGTCAGCACACAAAGACCACTGGCCGCAGGGGGAAGACAGTTGGTGTCTCCAAGAAGAGATAAATTATCTACTTGCCAGTTCCTATATGTTTTATGCTTCTCTTTAGTATGTGGAGTCCAAACACTTGCAGGAAGTTTATTAGTTATTTTGTTATGTTTGCACTGAAATTTTCTTGTTAAGCCATTTGGAGGGTTATAGTTCGTATAAATCCTCTGATAGCGTTGCAAGCAATTTGCTTACTGTGGGATCAAAGTTTTGCCGGTTGCGCTTGAATTAATACTTTGAGTGAGTACTTTTTATTGATATGCTTCCCATTTTACTAAATAAATACCAAGTAAGAAGTAGCTCGAGACATTGAATGGCTCATTCTGATCCTTAAACCCATGCCTTTTGGGTGCATTGTTTTGTTTGATGAACTGGGAAATACAGCGACTGTTTGCGCAAATAGCTTAGTGTGTTAAACTTTTGGATTTGTTTTGGGTACTTGTTTTAGATAAGTTGGGAAATAGTTTTTGGAACAATCCTGCTTTAATTAGTTTTTGAGTAATATTTGTGTTAGTGTTTGTGCAAATCGACTTTGGGTTGTCTTTTTCTTCTGAATACAATCTGGGCCTTTTGGTTTGATTACTCGGAAATACCTCTATTTTCAATCTGAGCTATTTTTTTTTGATTTTTGAAACATTCTATACATGTGCCATTGTTTTGAACCGATCTAGTTGGTAGGGTGGTGTTCATGGTTTAATTTGATTTATTTTGACTTGCAAAAAAAGCTCTAAATATTGAACTCAAACAACAACAAAAAACCCAATGAATTCCCACAAGTTGGGTAAATATCTAAATGTGGCTGATTGCACATTTTCCTATCACCATTGCTAGTTTAGTTGCTTTTTCACAGAAGCAGTTATGTAGAAGACCAACAGCATTTGGGTCATCTTTGCTCTAAATGTCATCATACGCAGAAAATTTCAATATATAGAGTATATATATAAAAAAAACTTTATATAGTTATGCAGTAAAATTTTCTAGCAAAGGAATATCAATTGACACCCTTGATTATTTATTTATTTATTTCTTGTAGTTCCATTTGGTTGACGGGAAAGGGAAGTGCCTGAAAACTTTCCTCCATTTATTTTTAACTTGAAAGAGAAAGTGTTCGCAAAATTTTCCACAAAAAAAGTTTTTCACAAGATTCTTTTCCCCCACAATTCAATTAAATCAATAAGGTACTCGATTTCGCAAGGAAACTGACCACTTTCTATTTGAAAATTTCATTTTATTAGACCAGTTATTTCCTTTTCAAGCAAATAAACTTATTTAATGTTATGAACAATAAAAGAAGAGGAAGAATATTGCAGAGAAAAGTAGGGAGAGAATTCTTATTGAAATTTGGGATGAATTACAATGAAATAGAACCCTCTATTAATAGGGAGAGAGTGACTTAGCCACCAAGTAATAAACCCTAGAATCTCTCTAAATATAGACATTCACCATAAATAAAATTCTATTTATAACCCTCCCCCTTGAATGTCCATTCAACAGATAATGTGCCTCGTTAAAACCTTAACTAAAATAAAACTCAGTGGAAAAAAAAATTCTAGAGAAGGAAAAAGAGTACACATATCTAATAATACGCCTTTTGGTTGCCTCGTTAAAAACCTTGCAAGGAAAACCCAGTGGGACAAAACCTTGTAAGGAAAAAAGAGTACAACACGTATTAACTGCCCCTGATGAGAGCATCAATTCACATCCTTAAGCATTTGCATTCCAATCTTGTGCACCATCTTCAAAAGATCTTTGGTAGATATTTGATAAACAAATCAGCCATATTAACTTGAATGAATATATTGCACCTTGAAATCATCATTCTTGATAGAGATGGATTGTCTTCATATGATCTTGTTGGAATCGTCAGTTCAATATCTTCACATAGAGGTGAAAACTCTTGCTATCATATTATCATGCATATAGTTACAGCAAGATACATTTGTGCACACATTGCATTGAGGATGTAGTACTTCATGACCATGAATTCTATATGCTTTAAGCAATTTAAATCCTTCAGGGATTGTTATATAAGTTAAGTCATATAAGCCATATAATAGACTTTAGATGCATATCAAGTTTTCATGTCATGCTAGACATATAAGATACCGAAAACTGATTGCACATATCATTGACTTTATACTTTCAAGTGTTTGAACTACATGTCCAAAACTACATGTCTTCATATGAAACCAAATTCTACTTGAATTGTTTCTTCAGACTTAAGATCCTCATATATATTTAGCGCTATTATCGACGTCGTCGACAAATATTTTATATCGGTTCCAACCTCCTAATTTTTCATAAAGACATAACATAGAGATCTCTTCATTCATATATTCAGGTACCTGAATCTCTCATGAGATTTTATGAAGTGTTATGTCATGTGATCTTCTAGATCACTTGCCTCCTTTATTATGATCATTTTGATCATTTGCTCATCTTCTTTATCAAGAAGTTTATTTGAACCGATTTGTCTATACGCTTTAAGCGTACCATAGACTTTGTCCTTCTAGGACTTATTCCAATCGGAGCATTTGCAGTGAGATATAGTTACTTTCTTTGGGCCAGCAAATGCATCTGGCATGCTTTGCAATAAATTGCATATGAATTATCCTTTTATGAACTTCAAGTTCATATTATTTTATTCGTGGATCTAGATGTATAAATGATAATTCATTCCATGTAACTTTTTCTCAACTGTTTATCATGTCTCCCCCTCATGTTAGAAAACTAACTTGTTTCCTCAACTTTGAGAACACATCTTTGTGCGTTATGGTGTCAATCAAAATATACACCGCACATCAATAATAATGAGATAGAATTATTTGGTTCCTGACCCTGAAACCACTTGTGAGGGGAGAATGTAATATACTTTCGTATATAACCTATATCAAACTGATATAGATAACTTTGTTCTCATAAGCAATAGTTTAGCTATTAAATGGAGGCACTCAATAAATCATTTTGCTAAACCAACTGTGATGTAAACCAACTTATCAAGAAGAACTATCTTGAATAAAAAATCTGAAAATTATGCTCTATATTAAATTATCGAGCAAGTTACCTCGCAAACACCAGGTTGCGGGTCAATAATAATTGCACATGTAACCATCTCATAGATGCATCTTATGTGGTATACATGGCAGGTGAATGGGCCAATATTCACCTTTGATATTTCCAGCATTCATGGGATTCAATCCCAATTTTAATTGGTCTATTAATTAATGAGAACAAGCAATGTAAGATAATTCGTAAAGAACTTTCTAGTTCTTTAATATTTACCCATGTGAATTCTCTTTTATTTTTGCACATCATACTTGAATTAACATGGCTAAACCAATTATGCCAACTGGATAAATTGTCAATATTGATAAACTTCAGGTTTACACCATGATGTGTGCAATTATGAATAAACTCCAAGTTTATTATGATATGGGTTTTTATATCAATAAATATCCACTTATTGTGGTATTCTTTTGTTTATGTAGTACAAATTGGAGAAGAAAGCGAGTAGCTTTTCACATACATATTACCCCGCTACAAGTTGTAGTAATAGAAGATATTCAATCTTTCCTTTATTTATAGTCTCAATATAATCAACCGCTTTCGCGTATACTTTGGAAACTGAATAAGTTTCTTTGAGACTTACTACAACACAATACCTTATTGGTAATTAATTGTGTTTCTCCAAAATAGTATAATTGGCTCTTGCAGAGTTCTCAATTAATTTTGTAGTACCACATATTCATCAACACCCATATGGTGAATATCTCTTTTAAAGAGAAAGTTATACCATTATGGTTATGGTCAAAATTATATGCAAGATCTGTTTCTTGCATTACCGTTGTCTTTTAACAATCACAATGCCAAAATATTTTGGCGTACAATAGGTACGTGACCAATGACCATTCATGCCATAATAATGACATTATTTTCTTATATCATCTCAAACCTCCTTTTAGAGGTGAGTGCAGTATATTCACTACCACTAGCACGCTCATATTCTTTGAAGAATGAATATGTATTCATAAATCAGATGTTGTCACATTCACATCATGAATGGACCATAATCATCTATAGGTGCTTTACAAAATCTCATGTCAAATCGATGACAAATATTTTTCACAGAGTGAAAGATTATTTTGAGAATCCTTATTGTTCTAATTACCACAAATGATGACGATTATAATTTCGTCTATTGCCACGTCCATATCCATTGATACATTCATAGTAGTAATTTTGTCTTCTTTCAGACTTATCACATACTGTTATCACATTCTTTTAAGGGAATGAGAATGGAGAAAATTCAATGGGACGGGTTTTCAATTCTTTGCCCACAATCATACATGAATTTGATCATGGCGAGGTATAGAAATTTTACCACTTCAGGTGGTTATAATTTCTTACAAACTCCATTAGAGTTATAATCATACTTTGTTGTCTTTGCTTGTATTTAAAATTAAAGTATAGAATAAAAGAGAAAAATACGGTAAAATACTTACCTTAAATCCAGAATTTAATCATGAAGGAAGTTCATGGAATAATTGACAATCATTATGCTCAATCCCAAAGCTTCTACTCAAATGGTTAGAGTCTCGTGCTTATAACGTGTTATGAACAATAAAAGAAGAGGAAGAATATTGCAGAGAAAAGTAGGGAGAGAATTCTTATTGAATTTTGGGATGAATTACAATGGAATAGAACCCTCTATTTATAGGGAGAGAGTGACTTAGCCACCAAGTAATAAACCCTAGAACCTCTCTAAATATAGACATTCACCATAAATAAAATTCTATTTATAACATTTACATATTAATTAAGTCTTTGGTTTTCCATTTCGTTAAATGTTGTTTTTAGGAGTTGTACTCATCTGTTCCGCAAAATTGTGGTGTAAATAGAATTTTTCCAAAAGACTCCGTCATTGAACACTAAAGAGAACCTGTAATTATGGACTAGACTCCCAATGTATTCTCTTCTTTTGTGGAATCTCCAACATGAAATAGAGGAAACAAACCTCAGTGCCATGGATAGAACTACAGAATTACCAACAGAAATCCTTCACTAAATACTCTCTCGTCTCACCACAAAAACTGCAGCCCGAACCACCGTGTTGTCAAAGCCATGGCTTAAAGCATGTTCTACGAACCCCTATCTTAGTTTTGATGAATCTTACTTTCAAAACTTTCAAGGTAAGTTCTTGAGAATTGTAGACAATACATTGGAAAGGTATCGCCTTGAAAAACTACCTATTTCAACTTTTAAGCTTTGCATCTTTTTTTCTGA